TGTATTTTTAGTAGAGACGGGGTTTCACCATATTGACCAGGATGGTCTCGATCTCTTGACCTCGTGATCCACCCGCCTCGGCCTCCCAAAGTGCTGGGATTACAGGCTTGAGCCAGCGCGCCCGGCCTATATGGCTAATTTTTGTATTTTTAGTAGAGATGAGGTTTCACCATGTTGGCCAAGCTGGGTTCGAATCAGCTCCTGACCTCAAGTGATTCTCTCGCCCCAGCCTTCCAAAGTGCTGGGATTATAGGCATGAGCCACCGTGCCCAGCCAAGTTCATTGATTTTTATAGACAACATTTTCCTCTTCACAACAAACGTCTATTGACTGTCCATTATAAGATGTGAAGAGTAAAATGATGAATAGGGTAAGATGCTGAGCCTCAAGGAGCTGGGAATCTAGTGGCAGATACAGATGCAGATGTGCCTCTAATATAGTAGTCTTATATGTTACACTATGTGCATCTATAATACAAAAGCAATACAGAAGTTTTATAAAGGTAATAACAACTAATATTAATCGAATACTTATGCAACTTTTAAGTTCTTTATCATCTCAGCAAAGCTTTTCTATAACTCTGTGAAGTAGATACTGTAATTCCATCTTAAAGATGAGGAAGCTGAGATACAGAGAGATTACGTAATTCATCTGAGGTTTTACAGCTCCTAAATGACCAAGTTGGCGTTAACACCCAGTCTGGCCCTTACCTAACAGGCTTCACTGCCTTCATAAGCAATTGTAGCCATGGAAGGAGTGTGGTGGGTTATTCCAAGTGAGAAGAGGTAATGCACTTGAAGACTCATCCCTAATTTGAGGTCCTTTTTAACAGAAATTGTGAAAAATATGCATAACATAAGATTTGCCATTTTAGCCATTTTTAGGTATACAGTATAGTAATGTTAAGTACAGTCACATTGTAACGTAAGCATCGCCATCAGCCATCTTCAGAACCGTTTCATTTTCTCAAACAGACGCTGCACCCATTCAACAGTAACCTTCCCTTCCCCCTCCTTCCATCCTCTGGCACCCACCATTCTGCTTCCTGTCTCTATGACTAGGTACCTCATGTAGATGGAATCATACAGTGTTTGTCCTGTGAGTCTGGCTTGTTTCACTTAGCATAGTATCTTCAAAGTTGGTCCCTTCTGTTAAAAAAAAAAAGTCTGTAACTTCAAATTATATCATATGGCAAAAATGCAAGAAATTCAGCCTTGTTTTTAACAGGCTGATAGTCACATTGGAGGTCAGATGATTTTCTTATTCTGAAATTATATTTAGAAAGTTATAATCTACAGCCCAGCAGAGAGATACCTGAATTACACAGTGAGCCTTTTTATTGTATAGGATGGAAAGATAAAGAGAATTAAATATATTGGGGTCTGCATGCAGGAAAGAAAGGATAAGCTGATCAGTTGTATGGGAGGCTTTCTTTCCTAAAGAGGGGGGTTTAAGAGTTAATGACTTAGGCAAGTGTGGTGGTGCATGCCTGTAGTTGGAGCTGTAGGCTGAGGCAAGAGGATCACTTGAACCTCAGAGTTCAAGACCAGCCCTGGGCCACATAGTGAGATCCCGTCTCTATTTAAAAAAAAAAAGAGAGAGTTAATGATTTAAATATTTCCTTCGTGTTTGTTTCCCAGCCTCCAAAAATAGATCAGATTCAAAAATCAGCTGGATATGGTGGTGCGCACCTGTAATCCCAGCTACTCCGGAGGCCGAGGCAGGAGAATTACTTGAACCCAGGAGGCAGAGGTTGTGGTGAGCTGAGATCATGCCACTTGCACTCCAGCCTGGGCAACAGAGTGAGACTCCATCTCAAAAACAATAAAAATAAAAACAAAATAGATCAGAATATGTCTCAGTTCTTTTAACCTTTACAAATTTCCCAAGGATTTTATGAAACTTCTTGTTTAGATTTGCTTTTATGTAAACATCCATGACTAACCAACCTATATTAGGGTCTATTGTGTGAACAAAAGGAAAATTTTGGGTAAAGCTCCCTGCCTCCCTTTGCATTAAGAGTGCCTTGTTCTTTGTGGAGTGCTGTTGTATACACTATGAGATTGGGTCTTGAACCTCCTCGGCTGCGTAGATGATGGTGGAGTGGTTCCTTGCTTTGAAATGAGGGACTAAATGAAAGAGCACCCAAGTAACTGGCCTAGGTGGCATCTCCCCGAGGGCTTTAAAATCTCCTTGGTTTAATTTAGTTTGCGGATACATTTTTTATTTTTGCTTTTTCCTTTTCTCAGAGCTTGACAAAAGATTTAGGAGGCAATGCAAAATGCTCAGACTTCACAGAGGAAATCTGTCGCCGAGTAAAAGATTTAGATTAATGCTTCTACAACTGGTATTTGCATCAGTCGCTCCAAATGGACACCACATAAACCTCTATTTAGAATACCTACGTATGTATGCAATGGTTTGCTTGTTTCTTGACAGTACATTTTTAGATCTGGCCTTTTCTTAACAAAATCTGTGCAAAAGATGCAGGTGGATGTCCCTAGGTCTGTTTTCAAAGAACTTTTTCCAAGTGCTTGTTTTATTTATTAAGTGTCTACCTGGTAAACTTTTTTTTTTTTGTAAACTCTTAAGTGAACAGTATAATTTGCTATTCTAAACCCTTTTACACTTAAGTTAAAATAGTTTTTCTTCAGCTGTAAATATCAGGATACAGAATTAACAAGAGAATATGTCTAACTTTTTAAGAAAAACCTTATTTTCTTTGGTTTATGAAAAACATAATGGAAATAAAACAAGATATTGACATAATAGCACAAAGTGACACTCAGAAAACTAAATGGACACAAGAGAAATTTCCTGGGAAAGTTCACATCAAAAAGCGTGAATGTGGTTATTTCTAAATGATATGGAAAATAGAGACAGATTTGTCCTTTACAGAAATTACTGAGTATGAATAAAAACTTCAGATCCAAGAAACATATAATGAGAGATATAATTTTTGTTAATAAGACAAAGGTAATATATTGGATACAAATATACAAATGTATTGTGTGTTCAATTATTTTGTCTTGAGATTTAATATTTTTTGCAAGAGCTTCTAATGAAGCAGAGAGCTAGTACTTCCTTTTATTGGATACATTTTCAGCATCATGGGTTGTTGCAGCCTGTGAGCTCCTGATCTCGAGCCAGAAGGGCTGACTGTCATGCATGTCTCCGTCTGGGAGTGGACCACAGTGCAGCTGGTAGTGCTGGGGGCGATACTGCCAAAAGGCTTGATCACATGTATTTTGACTGCAATTGGAACTTGGGATGCTGACTGTTTGACATTTCAGCAAGTGCCCCTTCTCATCTCCCAGAGCACCAATTACTGCCCTCTGCCTCAGCAGTACCAGTATAAGAAGACATTGCAGAGACTGCAGGTGACTCAGCCTGAGTTGATTCACAAAATTGTGCCATGCTGGGGCTTGGGCTTGAGCTGGGCCCAGCTTTTGACCCTCAGGCATCTCCTGTCCCTTCCTGCCCTCCTCTCCCTTCCCCTCCGCTGCAGCATGATTTTCTTAATCCTCAGACACTCACTGTTTTCATAACAGTTACCCAGTGGCCCCACAACCAAAGACAACTCATGCCCTCCCTTGACCCTTGTGTAACATTGCAAACCTGTGGCTTTGCAGAATGTACCCAGGTCACAAGGGGATTTTTTTTTAGCAACGATATCCCTGTCTGGGTCATTTTTTAAGCTTGTAACCAGACTTATAATCTTAAATGTATTTTCCTTTGTTTAAGCTGCTGCTTCCTTGGTTTCATTGGATTGTGCTAGTTATCAGTGGCTCTTGGGTTCAAAGTAATAAAGATTCCAAAACTGATTGAGATGTTTGCTTTCTCCACCTGTTTCCCATCAGAGGCCTTCAGTCATGTTGGCTCAGCTTGCTACCGAGAACGGCTGCTTCCCGTATTCAGAGTGGAAGTGGGGTAGGCTGGTGGTGACAGGCTAACGTAGAGTTGGCTGCTTTTACGAGAATGCTCCACTTAACCCCATCCTGCACCTTTGTTTATTCCAGGGCACCAGTGGTCACTCACGTCTGCTGTCCACAGTCCTGTGAGTTTAATGCCCATGACTGCCTGCACTGGTCCCACCTACTCAATTAACAAAAAAATCGGGTCCTTGTTGACAGTTCTGTTAAAAGGTTTAATATTCAAATTACACATTAAATAGGGTCAAACAGGCAGCAGCATTTTTATTAAGCATCCAGTCAGTTGGCATGTGTGTGGCGGAGGAGTGCCGGGTAGTGGAATAACAGGGTCTGCAGTGTCCACCGTGATTCCAGAGGAAGTCAGGTCGCTAGGTGAGTTGTAAGTGATTGCTTTCCCTGTGGCGCACAAGAGCAGTTTCAGCCATCTCCCTCCCGCCGGCTCCACAGCCTGCTGCCGGCTGTCTTGTCTGTGAACTAGCAGCTGGTTAATCTACCTGGAACTAAGGCCAAAAATGATCAGCCCTTTCGTTCTAGAAGGAGAGCTGATCTCACTTGTCACCTGAGCACAAAGCAATACTGAAATGGAATTAAAACTACCCACATATGAAGCTTCTCGGAATTGTCAGCTATTACTGGTCTAAGACCTGGTAAATGAAGAGCTGGCGTTGTGCCCTGACCTGGAGATCTAACAGACTGGCCAGAAATGCCTGCGCCAGACTGAGGAGACCTGGGGCTCAGGAAGACGCTCGGAAGGCCTGCCCTCTATTCTGTAGAAACTGCGAGCGCGGCCCTCGATTACATTTTTTGCTCTTGGTAAAAGGAGTCAATGATATCTTTGTACTTCTCCAAAACCGTGAGCCGTTTCAGTTTCATTGTGGGACCTAAAAGAGAAACGGGAAGAAAAGAGTGAGGCCCAGGCTCTGAGAACTCAGAATATGTGTGGTAAAGACTCACACTCAGTGAGTCCTGTCACTCAGGAATAAAGCCAGGCAGTCAGGACAGTCCGTAGCCAGCCTCCAAGACAGTGATGGCTGTTGGTATTCACATGGCGTGTGTGTAGTCTCCTATGTCATTCCTCTGGTTGCGGCCAGTGGAGGATAGAGGAAGGGTTGGTATGTCACTTTTTTTTTTTTTTTTGAGACGGAGTTTCGCTCTTATTACCCAGGCTGGAGTGCAATGGCGCGATCTCGGCTCACCGCAACCTCCGCCTCCTGGGTTCAGGCAATTCTCCTGCCTCACCCTCCTGAGTAGCTGGGATTACAGGCACCCACCACCATGCCCAGCTAATTTTTTGTATTTTTAGTAGAGATGGGGTTTCACCATGTTGACCAGGATGGTCTCGATCTCTTGACCTCGTGATCCACCCGCCTCGGCCTCCCAAAGTGCTGGGATTACAGGCTTGAGCCACCGCGCCCGGCGGCACTTCTGAGAATAGGTTATAAAAGACTGCAGTTTCTTTTATATGCGTAGGGAAGTGGTGGAGGCCACATCTACCTTATCCTTGCCCTGCACCCATTTTTGTCCTCAGTCCATTTTTCCTAAAATGGGTTTATTCGTTCTGTCTCTTGAATGAATAAATTGTTGAAGCAATTAAAAAAAAAAAAATAGACTAGGTTTCTGTCCTGGGCTTTCTCTTGGACCATTCTTCCTGGGCAAGCTGGCTGCCATGTTGTGAGGACACACAGGCAGCCCGGGAGAGGCCCACTGGCCACACATCGGCGAGCAGCCAGCAAGGAGCTGAGGCCTGCCAACAGCCAGATAAGTGAGTGTGGAGGGGGACCCTCAGCTGCAAGTGACTGCACCCAGCACACATTGATGTAATCGCATGAGACCCAAGCCAGAACCATCCAGCTAAGCTGCTCCTGAATTCCTGACCCACAGAAATGTGGATAGTATGTGTTTATTGCTAAAATTTAGGCTGCTACATTCTGGGGGGGGGTCATTTGTTACACAGCAGTGTATTCGATGACTAGTACACAGCATCTCTGTATTTGTGTGAAAGTTCATACAGTGTTGGACATTATGCTTTGATGGTTGTGATGGGGGTAGAGGAAGTCCAGGTTCTGGGGAGCCTCTGCCATGGTCTTTATGAGAGGTCTTCCCCTATTACTTTCCTTGACCTCGATTTCCCCCCTCTAAAGTAAGGCTGAAGGAGCTCTGATTTGAGGTCCTGGGAGCTTAAAATGCCTAACTCACTCTTGACTGTGTAACTGGAAACTTTCGGTAAAGTCATTGTACTAACTACTTAGAGAGGGCGTCTTCTGTCTGGCTGTCCTTGCATTCAATGTGCTGGCAGCAGATAGCCAGATAAGCTCAGGGTCACTTGACTGCAGCTCAGCATTGCTGTGGACAGTTGCATCTGGGTTCAGCCTCGGTGAGTTTGAGGGAATCACACTGGCATAACTTTCCGCCTCCCCTGTTCCATGAACACCCCATGAACATCTCTTGGCTACAACCAAGAGTGACCTCAGCTGAGGCTGCACTGGAGCCCTCTCTGGTTCTGTGGGCAGTGGTCCAGGGCAGCCTCACACCTTTACCTATCACACAAGCTGACTTTCCAGAAGATCACAGCATCTCGCCCCTAGAACCACATGACTCCAGCCTGAACACCGACAGGGCCTTGGTGTTGGCCTGGTAGTTCCATTGTGATTTTAGGAGAAAAGGGTCCCATAGTCAAAGCCAAGTTAAATGTCATGTTCAGATTAGAAAGTTCTATCATATATCTTGTACATTCAACAGGCTCCCCATAACCACAAGCCGGGGCACTGAGCCATCGCCCAGATTCCTGCCATGACCTTGACCTTGCTGTGGCTGCTTCATAACGGGCACCTCCTAGGCACTGCCAAGGCCTCTGCCTTCCCACACTGGCCTTGCAATAGTGAAGAGAAAACCTACCCAGCTCTCCACCCGAAATGGAGAAGTCTCTCTCGAGAATCGCCCACTTCTGGATGTGGTAGGGCCGGGCTGCCGCGTTTGTGTTGACCCTCCGGATCCCCTCTTCAATGGCCTGGTACACGGCCTCATCCTTCTTCCCCACGATCTCGGACACTGTGGTGGCTCTGCTGCCCACCCGCTGGCAGAACTCCACAGCTTGTTCGGTCAGATTATCAGTTGGGTCAGAGGTCTCTGGGTCCAGAGCGCACTGAAGAGCCAGAGATGAGATGAGGACCAAGCCTTACCCCACAAGACATAAGCCCTGGTCCTGGTCTTACTGCTGTCGGCAAGGGTGTGAATCATGTGAGCTCTGTTTCAAAGAGATGGTTCTAGAATGAGTAGCCGCTACTGTGTTGAGCCTCGTGTTACTGTAGAAGGAGCAGTGGTCTCAGGATTAGAAGACCTCCGTCAGTGATGTCGTCACCTATAAAGCAGGGACCCTAACTCCTGCCTGTCTGTAACCCTGAGGCTCAAGTACCTGCCGAGAGCAATGAGGGAGGGCAGCAGCACTTTGTAAACCGGAAAGTGCAAGTAACATGTCAAGGATCCTCACAGTGGCATGTGTGGGACGGAAGGAATTTCCACGTGCCACAGATGCTCCTACAGTGCAGGCAGCACGGACTCGAGTCATTTCAGAATGAAGCCATGAGATCTGCCTGGGCCCTGTGCTAAATGTGGCTTCTGCCAGCCCGACACACAGACCCCATCACTGGCTGTTACTTCTGAGCCGGGGCCCCCCCAGACACACCTTCAAGGTGAGCAGCATGGACAGGAACTTTCTCTGGTCCCCGATCAGCATGGCGTTGCTGATGATGGGCAGCTCCATCTTCACGGCCTCCTCGATGGGCAAAGGGGGCACATTCTCCCCACCAGCTGTGATGATTAATTCTGGGGAGGCAAGGCCAGGTCCCCGGCAAAGAATGTACGTCAGGTGGCCCAGCTGAATCACAACCCAGGCCTCACCACACCCCGGAAGCCTCAGGTACAGCAGGCAACACAGCTGGAGATGCCCCCTAGCTGGGAGCCAAGATGCAGTGCCTGGCCCTCCGAAGCACCTCACACCTGCGGGGGGGCTGGTGGTGGTCCCCCAAGGACAAATGCCCACCCAGGGACCCCTCTCAGCTCATCATCCAAGACATCTCATCCATGGCCCCCTTCTGCCAGCCCCAGTTCCTGCCCCTGAATAGCCCGTGTCATTTCCCTTCCCTGCCTTTGCTTAATAACCACCATCCCTGTCACGCACAGCACTCACCACCATGCTAAGCACCTCACATAGAGTAATTCATTTAACTGTCACAATAAACCTGTACTGAAGCAGACGCTGTTACTGTTTTTGCAGATGAGGAAACCAAGGCACAGAGATGTTCGGTAACTTGTCCAAGCTCACGTGCTAGTAAGTAGCAGAGCTAAGATTTAAAATCCAGTCCAGGTCCAGAGCCCGTACTGTCACCTGCCCTGCTAGGATGACTCTCCCCTTGCTTGCACCCTTCCCTGGAAGGTCCCCCCGGCTTCTTTCCTTCTGTCCAACAGACTGCCAGGCACTCAGTGCCCTGACCTGTTCTCTGATACTAATAATGGCTCACTTCTAGGGTAGATGGCAATCAATTCAATAAAATAAATTGCACAAATGCACATCGACTGATTTTACTGAGACTACCGTCCCTCCGTTCTAATTTAGAAAAGATTAGTTGGTCGCATTCTGTGCACAGGTCCTGTGCTGACATCAGGCACAGAATACAGCAAGGTTGGCCATGGCTGCAAGGAGCCCACCATGCAGTGGGGCAGTGAGACAGGGAGGCACAGGGGCTGCAGGGCCAGAGCAGGGAGGCGCCAGGCCCAGCTGCATGCTGATCATGAATGGGGGGTTGGCAGGCAGAGGCAGGACAGGAGCAGAAGCTCACAAGCCTTATAAGGGAGCTGCAGGTAGCAAGTGAGGCAGAGGCTGGAGAGGGAGTAGGATGGATCTCGGAGGCCTCTCGTGCTGCCTGAGGAGCTGCGCTGGGAGGTGGAATGGAGTGACAGTAAAGTCCTGGGGCGCTCTGGCAACTCGGGTGAAGAGTGGTTATTTAGGGGTGGGCCGGCTAGAGAGGAAGCCGTGACAAGTGTCTAGATGATCAGAGTTTGTCTAGGACAGCAGACGTGAGGAGGAAAAGACAGACTGGAAATGTGGAACTACAACAACGCAGCCTCCCCCACATATGCCCCATCATGGCCGCCTCATTCCTGCCCTTTTCTCCCCACTGCCGCCCTCTGCATTCTTACCAGCGTCTTTTACCATTAGTAAAAGATAAAAACCCTTAGCAAACTACAGCTGGAAAGACACTTCTTTAATCTGATAAAGAACATCTACAAAATTTTTACAGCAAACATACTTCTAAAAATTTTTTTTTTTTTTTAAGACAGAGTCTGGCTCTGTCACCAGGCTGGAGTGCAATGGCGCAATCTCAGCTCACTGCAACCTCAACCTCCTGGGTTCAACGTTTTTCCTGCCTCATCCTCCTGAGTAGCTGGGACTACAGGTGTGCGCCACCATGCCCAGCTAATTTTTGTATTTTTAGTAGAGACGGGGTTTCACCATGTGGGCCAGGATGGTCTCGATCTCCTGACCTCATGATCCGCCTGCCTCAGCCTCCCAAAGTGCTGGGATTGCAGGTGTAAGCCACTGCGCCCAGCCAAACATGCCTAGTGAATAAAATAATGCTTGTGCCCTGAGATCAGGAACAAAACAAGTTTGACCACTACCACCACTTGTATTCAACACTGCCCTGGAGGTCCTGACCTGTGCAAAACAACAAGAAAAAAATATCATTTGTCATTATTTGCAGATGATACAGTTGTGTCCATAGAATATTCAAAAGAATATATACACTACTAAATTAAATATGTGGACTGATCAAGGTCGTTTGATACAAGGCCAATATGCAAAAAGCAGTTGCATTTCTATATACTAATAGCGAACAAATAGACAAAAAAAATTTCACAGCAACATCTGAGCTGAAAAAATTTTAGAAATGATATTATTTAAAATAGCATAAAAATTATTAGAAGTAAATACAAGGGCAGGGCATAGTGGCTCATGCCTTTAATTCCAGCACTTTGGGAGGCTGAGGCAGGAAGATCACGAGGTCAGGAGTTCGAGACCGGTCTGACCAACATGGTGAAACCCCGTCTCTACTAAAAATGCAAAACTTCACTGGGGGTGGTGGCATGTGCCTGTAATCCCAGCTACTCAGGAGGCTGAGGCAGGAGAATCACTTGAACCCCAAGAAGAGGAGGTTGCAATGAGCTGAGATCACACCACTGCACTCCAGTAAGGGCGACAGAGAGAGACTCCATCACATACACACACACACACACACACAAAGTAAAATACAAGGAAAGATGTGCAAAAATCTCTAGCCTAAAAAATATAGGCTGAATGCAGTGGCTCACACCTATAATCCTAGCACTTTAGGAAGCCGAGGTAAGAGGATTGCTTGAGCAGCCTGGGCAACATGGCAAAACCCCCTCTCTACAAAAATAAAAAATTAGCCAGGTGTAGGGGCTTGTATCTGTGGTCCCAGCTATGTGATCGAGATCATGCCACTGCACTCCAGCCTGGGCAACAACGCGAGACCTTGTCTCAAAAATAAATAAATAAATAAATAAATAGCACATTATTGAGCGAAACTGAAAAAGACCTAAGTAAATGGAGAGAGAGATTTATCATCTTTGTGAATTGGAATACCCAATATATAAAGATGTATTTTTCTCACCAAATTGATCTACAGATTTAATGAAACCAAAAATCAAAATTCCAGCCAGTTTTTGAGGAAACATGCAATGAAAAGTTCCTATGGAAATGAAAATGGCCAAGAATAGCCAAGGTCGTCTTGAAGAAGAAAAAGACCAGGTCTCTAAGGACTTAAGCGGATATCTAGCTTGGTCATAGAGCTATAGAAATTAAGACACTGGGTACTGGTGCAAGGATAAGCGAATAGAACAAGAGAACAGAGTAGAGTCCACACATAGACCTCTCACAGACAGTCACTTGGTCAAGGACACAGGTATCACTGCAAGGCAAGGAGGAAGGGACGCCGTGTTAGTTGGATATATATTTGGAGAAAAGCTATCTGGACCCTTACCTCTCATTATACTTGTTCTAAAAGGAGGGCCAGCTCTAGTTGAATTTGGTTTTCGGGCTACTATCCTCTTTCAAGAACGTGGGTCCCCTCATCTGCCGTTACAAAGAGGAACACCAGGTGGCGCCCAAGGCACATCCAAGCAGCCACCTGTCGCTCCCGGGGTCTTCTGGGAGGGTCCCTGGCAGGGCTCACCAGCCTGCACATCCCAGGGCCCCAACGCCACCGTGACGTTTTGTCCCTCCCTGGGGGCTGAGCTTCCATGGCCATCAGCTGGGGCCTGGGCACGGTCGCACACTGCCTCTGCATGACATCCACAAAGCAGTTTACCCACTCGCTTAGCTTGTTTCGCCCATGAGGCCCTGGCGCGGCATTCCCACGTGGGTGCCGCGGACGTAACACCAACTCAGGTAAAGTAGGTAGAACGTACTTCTACAGAGGCATCCCCAGCTATTTCTGTCTCTGTGGGAAGTTTGTCTTATTTTAAATTTTATATCCAACGTGCATTCTATTCCCCATCATATCCGTGTTTGCATCTAAAAATACGTAATACTTATGCTCTTGAATCTTCTGGAAAGACTTGCCTTATTTCTCTAAAGGTCTCATTTCAGCTCTAAGCTCCACCATTTACCAGCTGGGTGACCTTGGACAAGTTACTTAACCTCTCTGGGTGTCCTCATTAGCAAGTTAGGGTTCATAGAAGAGAGGAGTAAATAAAACGATGTCACTAAAGGTGTGTGACACTTAATAATGGCTCAAGACTGGCGCTGCTATAAACAGTGGTGGCAGTGGACTTCCTGTTCCCACCCCACTATAGCTGTCCAGGCGCTGGCCTTTTTGTTTCTGTTTGGTTTCGTTTTATTTTTGGAGACAGAGTTTAGCTCTGCCTCCCAGGCTGGAGTGCAGTGAGGCGATCTCGGCTCACTGCAACCTCCACCTCCCAGATTCAAGCAATTCTTGTGCCTTAGCCTCCTGAATAGTTGGGATTACAGGTGCACACCACCATGCCCAACTGATTTTTTGTGTGTTTTTAGCAGAGACGGGTTTCACCATGTTGCCCAGGCTGGTTTTGAACTCCTGAGCTCAGGCAATCTGCCTGCCTGGGCCTCCCAAAATGCTGGGATTACAGGCATGAGCCGCCGCACCCAGCCTGGGGTGCTCACCTTTGAGGCGCCCAGTGATATAGAGGAAGCCGTCAGCATCCAGGCGGCCAGCGTCACCCGTGTGCAGCCAGCCTTCTTCATCGATGGCTTCACACGTCTTGTCCTCCATGTTCAGGTAGCCCATGAAGATAGTGCGGCCCCACAGGCAGATCTCACCAATGCCCTCTGCATCCTGGTTCACCAGCTTCACCCGACAGCCGGGCACCACCTTGCCTGAGCTGGTGAGGGAGGAGTCAGGAGACTGGTCAGAGGGAGCCTTCTCCTCCCAGCCCCCATGGTGGGGGAGGGTCTTCACTGATGGCTAGAAGGTATCCCCTCACAAGGCTTTTTGTATTTTTTTTTCTTTTTCTTTTTCTTTTTTTTTGAGACAGAGTCTCGCTCTGTCGCCAGGCGTCAGGCTGGAGTGCAGTGGCTCGATCTCGGCTCACTGCAACCTCTGCCTCCTGGGTTCAAGCAATTCTCCTGCCTCAGCCTCAGCCTCTTGAGTAGCTGGGACTACAGGCGCACACCACCATGCCCAGCTAATTTTTGTATTTTTAGTAGAGACGGGGTTTCACCATGTTGGCCAGGATGGTCTCGATCTCTTAACCTTGTGATTCGCCTGCCTCAGCCTCCCAAAGTGCTGGTATTACAGGTGTGAGCCACCACGCCCGGCCAGGGCTTTTGTATTTTAAGAGGGGACTTAGAGCTGAAAGGTAGAGCCAATTAAAGGGTTTTAGGGAATGAACGAAAGAAGGAACAGAGGAAATGGTAATGGTAGAGCTTGGAGCACTGTGATAGGCTGTCAGGGAGAGGGGCTATTGGAGCACAACAGATGATCTCCTAAATCACTCCTCAGAATGGACCGCCCTCACCACCCATTAGGAGACCGGCCTGGTCCCCCACTCCCACCCCAGCCGGCCCCTGGAACACCCTGGAGCACACCCCACCTCAGGAGAGGGAGGGGCCGGAGGAAAACTGCTCCACAGGTAGACCCCTGCTCAGGGGACACCTGGGCTGTGTAGGCTGTTTTCAACCACAGACGTACACGACACAGTGGCAGAGGCCACCCCCACTAGACTGAGGAGGGTAAGCTGGGGACTCGGCCCAAGGTGGCAGTGCTGGCTCTCGGAGGCTCCACAGCCCAGCGGCCAGGTCTCTGGGACCCAACTGGTGTATAAAGAAGAGGGGGTCCCCAGGGCACTCAGCAGGAGTGCCAGCAAGGGCATGTTGGCGTGCACGTGTGCAGCAGCCTCCAGCCTCACCTGTACAGCCGGTAGTTATACGGGCTGGACATGAAGTGGGGGCCTGAGGTCTCACTGAGGCCATAGCCCGCATACAAGCGGATGTTGAGGCCCAGGAAGAAGTGCTGTGTCTCTGCCGTCATGGGGGCCGCTCCATAGAAGTTCTTCTGACACTTGGCAAAGCCCAGTGCCTGGCGGACCTTGGCTAGCACCAGGTAATCTGCCAGTCTGGTTGTGAAGGGCTTCAGGTCGCTGGTGGGAGAAGGAGAATGGTTCACAGAAGAAATCACACACACACACACACACACACACACACAAACACATACAAACACACAGACACAAACACAAACAAACATACAAACACAAACACACAGACACAAACATACACACACACAAACACAAACATACAAACATACACACAAACACACAAACACACCACACACAAACACACCACACACAAACACACACAAACACACAGACACAAACACACATACACAAACACAAACACACACACAGACACACACACACACAAACACACACACAACACAAACGTACAAACATACAAACACACACAACACAAACGTACAAACACACACACAAACACACACAGACACAAACACACACAGACACAAACACACACAAACACAAAAATACAAACACACATAAACATGAACACACACAGACACACAAACACACAGACACATACACACACACACACACACAAAAGGGTGGTATTCAGTAAGAACACACTGGCTCAGCCATTGCAGTTGTCTGTTCCAGTTGGTTTGAATATTCAGCCTGCCTGTCAACACGCATGCAGAAGTAGGTATGCAGGCACACGCTGTGTGCAAATGTGTCTGAAACCAGGAAGTCAAACCGATTCAGCTGCGTACAGGTGTAGAGGCAACAACACAGACGCATGCCATTTTGCACACACAATACACATGCACAGACTTGAAGTATAAACTTGTGTAGACACAGGTACAAACGTGGGACCCCAGTGAAGCCCACAAATGCTTTGTTCGTGCACATTCACTTTTCACGTCTGTGCAAATGAAGCTGTGGGTGCACAGGCATGTATACACATCTCATGAAACATACCATTTCACAGACACTTGGGGAATGGGAACTACTAAATTGAAACCAAGTCTGATTCATGTCACTGACGCTCCCATAGCACTATGTGGGAATCTAAAAAGCCATGGAAAGATAGAAAGGGGCGAGATCGGAGGGGTCACTTGGGATGCTGAAAACGCTGGAAAGGCAAAGTCCTCATCGCTGTGGCCCCTTCTCCAGCCATCCACTGAGGTCAGGAGACCTCAGGAGACTGTGCCAAGAGCTGCTCCTAGGGAGCTGAATTTCACTTCGGAGAAACCAACTTAGTCCTCACAGTCAGAATCCAAAGGTTGAGTGACTGTTCCCAGCAGGGCCTGGGAAAAGCATAGGCGCTGAAGCCCGGTCATGGACGGGGCCTCTGCATGGGTTCTCCAGAGCTGCCCGGACACTGGCGCTGGGACGGGCATGGCCTATCAGACCCACGCCGTGTTCTGGGTTATGACCAAGCCTGCCGCCTCCCCAGGCCTCCTGCCCGTGGACCCTCTGTACCTGCCAGCGCAGGTGAGGTTCTGCTCCAAGGTCACCGACATGGCCCACAGCAGCATCTTGCGCCGGATGAAGCCAGACTGAGCCGCTGCCTCCTGGATGCGCTCCATGATCTTCTCCCACACCCGGGGCACCCCCATGTGCGACGTGGGCTCCACCTCCCGCAACGTGTTCACCAGGCTCCCCTGTTCACACCAGAAGAGGCAGGCCTGCCAGGTCAGGGACAGCTAGGGACCAGGGAGCCCCTCTCACCAGCCAGGCGTGCAGACGCCTTGCAGGCATGCCAGCAGCACACACATGCTTGACGGGCACCCACGCACACCTGCACACAAGGTGTGGCACATACTGTCGGCCCAATGGCCTTCGCCTCCCTCTCTGCATGTGGAACCCTGGTAGCAGGCAGCTGTCAAGCGGCCAGTGCTTCAGAAGGACCCCAGTCTCGTCCCAGCCCTGAGCGTGGTGACTCTTAACTCAGACACAAAAATCCCATTCTCCTCCGCAGCGTTCCGTTTGAGAACAGACAGGTGACACTTTGGGCCACTGAGATGCAGGCGGAGGGAACATTGCTGGGGTGTTTCTGGGAAGTTTTCCTCACAGTTAAAATAAAGGTCCCAGGAACAGGTGTCTCCTGTGAGGCTGGGGTTCAGGGAAGGGCCGTAGCCAACAGGTGACACTCTGAGGACGCCCGTCCTTGAGGGTGTCGCAAGCCCCACGAACCACTCTGACTCAACTTTATGTAATGGCATCAGGCGCCCTTCTTGTTTGGTCATCTGAGTCAGGCTGTGTCCACTGAGTTCTGACTGATACATGCACAGGTACAGCACACACACAAATGCACACGCAGGTCCCATGGACACGCGTGGAGGTGCCCTGGCACACAGGCTTGGACAGACACACAATAGAGGCAGACTGACCTTCAGGGCGTCGGGTTCGGCAAAGCAGACCTGGGCCCCCCACTGGATGCCCGTCCACAGGTCGTAGATCTGGGCAGCAATGTGGCTGAGGGGCAGGTAGCTGACCACTACCTCCTGCTGCACTTCTGCTGGCTGGATGTCGCCGGCCTGGCTCCCGTACCGCGCCGTCCACGTGATCTGGAGGACAGGCAGATGGGCCCCAGCAGCATCCACAAGCCGCTCCGGCAGTGCTCACCACTGTGGCCACCCTGGGGGCCAGCCCCCGCATGGTGCCCGCTGTGGCATCTCTGCCGGCTCTGAAAACCCCAGGACAGGCCTCCCCTTCCCCTTGCTGGGCTCATTCTGGGCCACAGATTGAAGGGTTGTTCTATCCCAGCTCCCAGACAGAACGGAGGGGCCTGAGGAGCTTCCCCAGGGGCTACTGGGCAGAGCCATGGCCCAGATTCACCCACTATCCCCCCCACCCGGCATCTGTCTTACATTGTCTTGACTCAGCATCACGCCCTTGGGGTTCCCAGTGGTGCCTGATGTATAGACCAGCACACAGCACTGGTTGGGCTGCTGGGCGTCGATGATGGCGTCCAGGGCTTCCTCAGGCACTTCATTCCCCAGCTCCATGAACTCCTCCATCTGCAGCCAGGTGCAGGGAGTAGGCAGGCTAGGTCAGCTGGGTGGGCCCAGCAGGCCCCGCCAGGCGCCCAGGGTCCCGCTGCCCATACCGTGTACACATGGGTCATCTTGTTTGGAGGAGGTTCTTTGTATATCACAACTGCCTTTAGATGTGGCAGCTGTTTCCAGATCTGCATGGACCGGAAAAATAAATCGGGTTTCAGCAAGAGAAATGTTGCCTCCTGAAAAGCACCCCATCTCCCTGTGTGAGTATGCTTGGCAAAGGTCTCTGTGTGCTCCATCTCTGAACTGTGATCCCACCAGGACAACTGCCACCCTTCACTTGTAGTTTCCCTCCTGAGAACTTGGGAGCCGTAAAGGTGGGGATAGCCAGGGGACTGGGGATGGCTCATTTTTTTCCACTGGAGAAAAGCCACCAAACAAGCTGGGACCCGGCTGAACAACCCATGATCCAGCCACACAATGCAGCAGTTCTAGAGGGAGTGGAGGAGAGGGCAGAGGACAGAGGGAGAGAGTTCTACGTGCAGAGAGTGAGTGGTTTCTAGGATGTATTATTAAGTTGAAAAAGAAATGTGTACACAATGCATATATGTAAAAAAAAAAGGTGCAATGTGAATCTATGTGTGCACACAGGTATCTACTTATATTTACAAAAACAGCCTGGGTCAGGGGCTCACGCCTGTAACCCCAGCACTTTGGGAGGCCAAGGCGGGCAGATCATTTGAGGTCAGGAGTTCAAGACCAGCCTGGTCAACATGGTGAAACTCCGTACTACTAAAAACACAAAAATTAGTCAGATGTGGTGGCGGGTGCCTATAATCCTAGCTACTCAGGAGAATCACTGAGGCATGAGAATCACTTGAACCTGGGGGGCAGAGGTTGCAGTGAGCCAAGATAGTGCCCTCCAGTCTGGGTGACAGAGAGAGGCCCTGTCTCAAAAAAAAAAGACCCTGGAAGGTTAAACCAAAACCTGAGTGACTTGCCTATGTATAGGCAGAGAGGGAATAAAGGTAAGAAGAAAGGGAGGAAAGCGAAAATTCTTTGAGTGTACATGGTTTTGATTTTGGAATCATGTAAATGTTTTAACCATTTGAAAAATAAAGTTATATATAAAAGGAAGTCAGGTGTGGTGGCTCATGATTGTAATCCCAGCCACTTGGGAGGCTGAGGCAGAAGGATCACTTGAGGCCAGGAGTTTGAGACCAACCTGGGCAACATAGTGAAGCCCAATCTCTGGGGGAAAAAAAAATACACACACACACACACACACACACACACACACACACACACACACAGATTTAGAAAGGAAAAAAAATGAGCTCCTAAAACTTGAAAACACTCTGAAAGAAATAAATTAGTCCGAGATCAAATGAATTAGTCCAGGTAGTAAAAGCTATCTAACCAGCAGAAACAATAAAATAAAATAAATGAATTAGACCATATTCTAAGTTGGTAACAAAACCCCACACACAAAGAATTACATCAAGATCAAGGAATTTTATAATAGTGAACTTAGATTCCTCTTTTTTAGTGGCACTTACTCTAAAGGCAAAAAGGAATTTGAAATTCTATGCAATAGTCTTATTGGTTTCCGGGGTTTTGTTCCGTTAGTTTTATTTGTTTTGCTTTTATTTTGGAGACAGGTTCTTGCTCCGTGGCATCAGCATGGCCCACTGCAGCCTCAAACCCCTGGGCTCCCATGATTCTGCCTCAGCCTCCCAAGTAGCTGGGACTACATGTTCACATCACCACACCTGGCTAATTAAAACATTTTTTTTGTAGAGACAGGGTCTCACTATGTTGCTAGGCTGATCTTAAACTCCTGGGCTCAAGAGATCCTTCTGCCTTGGCCTCCCAAAGTGCTGGGATTACAGGCGTGAGCTGCTGGGCCTGGCCTTATTGTTGGTAATAATATCGATACCACTATTTTGAAATTATTTGATATATACTGTAAGATTACATTAATGCTATTAGAAACTACGATTTTAAGGTAGAATAAAAGAAATACAAGAATATTAAAAATACAATCAAAGAAAGTAAGCTAAAACCTTGCAGTATAAAATTTGAAATGTTATGGAAGAGAACTATCAGTGTGAACTCATGATTTTTTGCTAAAATATATATTCCTGAGACTTCTGATTCTGGTCATAAGTGGGTAACATCCATCATTGCACTATAAATACTAGGAAAGTGAATAAAACATAGAAAGCAATTGATTTCAGATACCGGCGTACAGACAGCTCAGGACGGAAATCCCTGATTGAGGGAAACAGATGAGGTGAGCCTTTAAGTGCGCCCCAGCTTTGTGCCCATGGGCAATTTTGGGGTTATGGCAAAGAGAGAGAGAGAGAGAGGATAATACAGAACCCAATTGTCTTACTGAGTTGAGGTAACCCAGATCAGAACTCAGGAAAGCTGAGGTGGCTAGAATTTGTGAGACAGAACACCAGAGAGGAAAGAACTATACAGACAGAATTCTAGAAATTCTTTTAGGGTCTTTAATTGACTCTGCATCTGCACATGCATAGGATGAAACTCCATGAAGCTGGAGGCAGACCCATGGCCGGGGCTGGAAGTCAAACAATGGCTGATGTAGGAATTGCTCATGGTTCCCCCCTGCTGCCAGCATGGAGGGACCCATCAGGCATTAAACAGAGTCCTAGAAGGGTCATGTCTTAGTAATGGGACTAAATTAGCCGTAGTAATGGGACTAAATTAGCCGTAGTAATGGGACTAAATTAGCCGTAGAGTAAAGGCTATCTAAAGGCCTGTAAAAGCCTTAAAGACAGCCTCAAAATAAAGTTCAGAGAGAAAAAAAATGGAAAAACATTACCTGTTGGACAATATCAAGAAATCCGACATACATGTAATTGAAGTCCCAGAACATTTATTTAATTGAAAAACAGTCTGAGAAACTTTCAAATTTAAATTGGTGGATTAAAACTATAAATCCACTAATTCCAGAAGCTCAATGACTCCTGAGCAGGATAAACACAAAGAAAACCACCTTAAGATACAACATAACCAAATTGCTGAAAACCGGTGAAAAAGGAAAAGAATCTTAAAAGCAGCCAGAGAAACAAAACACACTAAAGAAATCACAGACTTCTTGTTAGAAGTGATGCAAATGGAAAACATTGAAATGAAATATTAAAAGTGATTAAAAAAAACCCTGTGAACTCATAATTCTAAATCAGAAAAAATGACTTTAAAAAAATGAACCCAGAAACAAGCACCTTTTCAGACAAAGGCAAGCTGAGAGAATGTATTGCCATCAGACCTGTACTATAAGAACTGTTAGAAAAGTTCTTACGGCTGAAAAGATGATATCAGATAAAAACTTGGATCTACAGAAAGAAGAAAAGTATCAGAAATGGCAAAAGTGTGGGTAAATATGAAACATATTGTTTCCCTCTTTAAAAATTTCTTCGAAAGATACTGAACTGGGCTGGGTACAGTGGTTGTAATCTTAGTCTTTTTGGGGGCCTCAAACCCCTGGGCTCCCATGCCTGTAATCTTAGTATTTTGGGGGGCCCAGGTGGGCAAACTGCTTGAGCCTAGGAGTTTGAGACCAGCCTGCGCAACATAGCAAGACTCTGTCTCTACAAAAAATACAAAAATCCAGCTGCTGTCATTCATTTTACTTCCATAGAGGTTATAAACCCCATGATACACTTTAGTACTCTTGCTTTCAACAGCTGAGTATCTTTCTTTCTTTCTTTCTTTCTTTCCTTCCTTCCTCCTACCTTCCTTCCTTCCTTCCTTCCTTCCTCCTTCCTTCCTTCCTTCCTCTCTCTCTCTCTCTCTCTCTTTCTTTCTTTGACAGGGTCTAACTCTGTCACCCAGGCTGGAATGCAGTGTTGCAATCACAGCTCACTGCAGCCTCATGTGACTGTAGTCCCAGCTACTCGGGAGGCTGAGGTGGGAGGATTGCTTGAGCTCAGGAGGTTGAGGGTGCAGTGAGTCATGACTGCACCACTGCACTGCAGCCTGGGTGACAGAGTGAGGCCCTGTCTTGGGAAAAAAAAAAAAAAAAAGATACTCAAAGCAAGAGTGGTAACAATGTATTGTGGGGTTTCTAACCTCTAGAGAAGTAAAATGGATGACAACAGTTGAAAGGTTAGGAGGGAAATGGACGTGGGCTGTTGTGTGCCTCCACATTTCATGGGAAGTGGTATGCCTGAGAGTACACCGTGGGAAGTGAAAAATGCACATTGTAACATCAGAGCTACTGATGGAGTAACAAAGGGCAGCTAATAAGCCAGTGGCGATCAAACGGAATACTAAAACAAAACAAGATAAAAAATCCAAAAGAAGTCAGGAAAGAGGAGAAAAGGAACAAAGAACAGATGGGACAAATAAAAAAATAGCCAAATGGTGGATTTATACATAATGTTGTCAGGCTGCATAAAAGCGCAAGAGTCAACTGTGTGCTGTCTACAACAAACTCACTTTAAATATAAAGACACAGATAGGTTAAAAGTGAAAGAATACAAAAATATATACATGCAAACATTAATTGTCAGAAACTTGGAGTGGCTATATTAATTTGAGGCAATGTAGTTTTGGAACAAGAATTATTACCAGGGATAAGGAGGAATATTTCTTAATGATAAAGGATTATACAGTAATCTAAATGTAATAATATAATAATCTAAACATGCATGTGCTTCATAACAGAGCTCCAAAATGTATAAAGCAAAACCTAGTAGAACCAGAAGGAAACATAGATGAGTCTGCAATAATAACTGGAGGTTTCCACACTCCCTTTCTCAGAGTTTCATAGAGCAAGAAGGCAGAAAATCAACAGGGATACAGAAGGCAACATTAAAACACTACCAACCAACTTGATGTAATTAACATTTACAGAACATTCTAGCCAACAACTGCAGAGTACACTTCTTTCAAATATCCCTGCATTCACCAAAAGTCATCATTATTCTATCTCACCTACTCTGTACAGAGTGTCTCAGGCACCAAATAGCCTCAGGTAATGAGAGAAAGTTCTCTCTTTGGAGAATTCCAGCCGATGAATTCGAAAATCAACATTTTGCCACCTCTACTAAAATAATTAATTCAGGCGAACATCACCAAGGGATGCTAAAACCATTAGGAGAAAGGTTGATGGGAAATTTCCCAGTGGCAGACGAGAAGGTGGTCACCACAATCT